TTGGACCCCCACACGTGGGCTCTGCGGTCCCCCAGTGTGCGGGGGTGGGGGCACCAATGGACCCCCAGTGCCTGTGGGGCGGCTATAGGGCTGGCAGTGGGGCAAGCCATAGGGTCAGGTACAGAGCTGGCAATGGAGTCAGCCATGGGGTCAGCTATAGGGCAGCCACGAGGCTATGGGGTCAGTAATGGGGCAACAGTGAGGTCAGTAATGGGGCAACCATGGGGTCAGCCATGAGGCACAGCCATGGGTGAGCTGCAGGGTCAGACATGGGGTCCCATCCCCCAGGGACCCCAAAGGGTGGGATGGGATGCCTGAGTGCAGTGTGCTTGTGGCTGCGTCCCCGTGTCCTCCTGCCCCCCCTGTATCCCTCCCCATGTCCCACATCCCTGCGTCCCCAGGTCCCCACATCCACAGGACCTGATCAGATTCAGAGGATGGGGGTGGGGGGTGGCCCCGCCCTCCCATCGGCCCCGCCCACCCCGTGGCCACGCCCACCCCGTGGCCACGCCCATTCAACTACAGCTCCCCAACCCCGCCCGGTTCCCTCCCCCCCTCCACATCCCCTCCTGCCTGCAGCACACGGGGATGGGGCTGGAGCTGGGAACAGAGATGGGACAAAGGCAGAAAGAGCAGCGGGAATGGGGACAGGGATGGGGACAGGGGACAGACACCAAGGGGACACCAACCCCAGACGCAACCAAACCCCAAAAAACCATCATAGGACACCGATGTCACTGCAGTGCCACGCTCTGATCCCAGGAGGTGACACAGGGACACCCCGCTGCCACCCATCCGCTGCCACCCCCCTCCAGCGTTACAGTGTCACTGCTAGGGACGGGCGGCCGGGGGGGGCTTGGTGTCCTCCACCTGGATGAAGAGTGCTGGAAGAGAAAGAGGAGTGAGGCCACGTGAGGATGTGACAAAGTGGCAGCGGGCTCACAGTGCTCTCTGCCAAGTGCCACGCGCTATGGGGAGCCCCCCGTGTCACCCAGAAGCACATCTGTGGGATGGTCTCAGTGTCCCCAGCCCCGTCCCTGCAGCATCACAGCTCCTCACCGGTGGCCTCGGCGTACAGCGTGTCCCCTTTGGTGTCACGCACGCGGCAGGAAAGGAAGATTTTGCGTCCCTCGTGCCGCTCCATGCGGCTGTCGGCCACCACCACAGCACCCACTGGCATGGGGCTGAGGGACAAGGAGGGGACAAACGTGTGGGGCTGGGAACAGAGTTGGGGACGGAGGCAGGAAGAGGAGCGGGGTAAGGACAGCTGGGAACGGGGACAAGGACGGGGATGGGGACAGGGATGGGAATGAGGACGGGGCGGGGGGACAATGACGCAGCGTCCCCCGCAGCGTGGGGACACTCTGAAGCGATGTCCCCACACAGTGACACTCACGCCAGGTAGCTGATGTTCAGTTTGGCCGTCATCACCGACGTTTTGGCCACCGCCAGCGCGCACGTCCCCACCGTGGTGTCAATGAGGGTGGCGATGGCACCACCGTGTGCAAAGCTGTGGGGACACGGTGAGCACACGGGGACAGGGGCGAGGATGGGGATGGGGGACACGGCGTCACCTACCCGTGGTGGCCCTCCAGGTAGGGTCCCAGTTGGCACAGGCACTGCGTGCGGTGGCCGGAGGAGTGCAGGAAGATGGCGTACTCAAAGCCAGCACCTTCTGCATCCAAATTGCGTAGGAAATGCCGCGGCCCCGGCCCCGTCACCGGCCCCACCACCATCTGCACCACCTCTGCCAACAGGACGTGGTGTTGGTGACACAGTGTGGGTGACAGGGTGTGGGTAATACAGCGTTGGTGACACAAGGTGGGTGACACGGTGTGGGTGACACTGTGTCAGTGACACGGCGTGGGTAACGTGTGGCTGACACAGCGTTGGTGACACAAGGTGGGTGACACGGTGTGGGTGACACCGTGTCGGTGACACGGCGTGGGGAACGTGTGGCTGACACAGTGCTGGTGACACCGTGACAGTGTCACAGTGTGTCACCGATGCAGTGTCACAGTGTTGGTGACACTGCGTTGGTGACACAGTGTGGGTGACACTATTAGTGTCACAGTGTTGGTGACACCGCTGTTGGCGTGGTGTGGGTGACACTGCGTTGGTGACACAGTGTGGGTGACATTGTGAGTGTCACAGTGTTGGTGACACTGCGTTGGTGACACAGTGTGGGTGACATTGTCAGTGTCACAGTGTTGGTGACACTGCTGTTGGCGTGGTGTGGGCGACACCGCATCAGTGACACAGTGTGGGTGACATTGTCAGTCTCACAGTGTTGGTGACACTGCGTCGGTGACACAGTGTGGGTGACGATGTCAGTGTCACAGTGTTGGTGACTCTGCTGTTGGCGTGGTGTGGGTGACACCGCGTCGGTGACACAGTGTGGGTGACACTGTCAGTCTCACAGTGTTGGTGACTCTGCTGTTGTCATGGTGTGGGTGACACCGTGTCGGTGACATAGTGTGGGTAACATTGTCAGTGTCACAGTGTTGGTGACACCGCTGTTGGCGTGGTGTGGGTGACACCGCATCGGTGACACAGTGTGGGTGACACTGTTAGTGTCACAGTGTTGGTGACACTGCTGTTGGCGTGCTATGGGTGACACTGCATCGGTGACACAGTGTGGGTGACGTTGTCGGTGTCACAGTGTTGGTGACTCTGCTGTTGGCGTGCTATGGGTGACACTGCGTCGGTGACACCGTGTGGGTGACGTTGTCAGTGTCACAGTGTTGGTGACACTGCTGTTGTCATGGTGTGGGCGACACCACGTCGGTGACATAGTGTGGGTGACACTGTTAGCGTCACAGTGTTGGTGACACAGTGTTGGTGACACAGTGTGGGTGACACTGTTAGCGTCACAGTGTTGGTGACTCTGCTGTTGGTGTGGTGTGGGTGACACCGCATCAGTGACACAGTGTGGGTGACATTGTGAGTGTCACAGTGTTGGTGACTCTGCTGTTGGCGTGGTGTGGGTGACACCGCGTCGGTGATACAGTGTATGTGACGTTGTCAGTGTCACAGTGTTGGTGACACTGCTGTTGTCATGGTGTGGGCGACACTGCGTTGGTGACACAGTGTGGGTGACGTTGTCAGTGTCACAGTGTTGGTGACACTGCTGTTGGCATGGTGTGGGTGACACCGTG